GGCAGTCACAGGAAAAATTGCATTTCTGGACAGAGCTCGGTACCTGCATGCACCCACCTCAGGGGAAATGCATGCATGGGTAGGAGTTTGCCACAGTGTTGACCTTAGTCATCAAGCTGACACCAAGAGCACATAGAAAATCCAGGACAGTGCAAGAACACAGAGAGCAGAGATTCTCCTCCGGAGACTGAGTCCATTTCCGACTAGCACAGCACCAGCATTTTATGATCCTTGAACTGCATTCACTTGGATGTCTCTGAAATCCTCTGATGTCTGTTGGCGGGAAGAAAGGGGATTCTGTCTTAACGTCATGGAGGATGCCCATGGGTGCCCTCGGGAAGAGACAGAGGGACAGTAATATGAGCGCTCGCCCTCTCAGGCAGAACGCATGATGATCAGGTTAACTGGAACTGGGTACTCTGTAAGATGGGGCTGTATCGACCATAGTTGTCACTCAAGAGTCCCAGTGAAGAATCCCCATGGACACTCAAAGTGCGTTATCACGGACGAAGACCCCACACACCACACTCAGGAGCCAAGCCACCTGATTCATTTCTGTGATGCGTGTGCAAAGTTTTTTCGTGTTTTTTGGGGGAAGGTCACACCCGGCGATGCTCAGAGGTTCCTCCTGGCTCTGCACTCAGAAATGACTCCTGGTGGTCCTCGGGGTATCATACAGAATGCTGGGAATCGAACCCAGGTCGACCGCATGCATGGAAGACGCCCTCCCCGCTGTGCTATTTCTCCAGCCCGCGTGTGCAAAGTTAAAGGGACGAGCTTGTCCAGAAGATACGCTGGTTGTTCTTCACACACTAAACATGCACAGGCCATGCGGATGGTGCTTGGACTGTTGAGTGTCTCACCCCGCACAAATGAGAACTGCATCCAGAGAAAGGAAGTGTTGGCGTGCGTAGCTTTATGACAGTACAATCAGGAGAGTCCTCTACTGCCGGCTCATGGGCACAAAGGAATTGATGTGTGTGCAGAAGACGACTCTCACCCTACGGGCAAGACCTAGCCATGTGCACACGGAGGAGGCAGGTTCTCCCCGCTGTGGATGCATTGGGTTTGAAAGCACGCAAACTCAGAAAGAACCCAGAGTCCCTGAGACCACAAACGATACAAATTCATACACAGAACCTGTTCCTAACGGACTCATCTATATAGAGAATCGGGTTCCAAGTCCCACCAGGGTGCAAACAAAGAAAACTAGAGTTGGACCCAGCATTCATTTGCGATGTATATATATAAAAAATTATACAGTAGAAGACTAATATTCACGGCTGGGCCCAACAGGGCTTTGGAGGACTGGTTGGTGGTTGGATCGAACCCCAAGTGTGTGTGGGGCTGAGGGTAGGAAAGACAGAGAAGGGACCAGGGTGACAATATTAGCTGGGAAGGATCACATCGGGCAAGAACTGAGGCTTAAACGTAGGGAAAGGGATGTATGTGATTACTTTTCAGTGTTGATATTGCAAACCACAATGCCCAATGAGAGAAAGAGAGAGAGAGAGAGAGAGAGAGAGAGAGTGAACGGAGGCAGGAGGGCAGCAGTGATCAGTGATGGGAGGGACCTTGGGGACACTGGTGGTGGGAAATGTGCCCTGGTGGAGGGATGGGTGTTGGGACACTGTGATTGAAACCGAATCATGAACAACTTTATAAGGATCTATCTCACGGTGATTCGATAAAAATAAAATCTTAAAAAAAAAACAGAATTGGATCCAAAGCTCCCAAAAGAAATGTAGAACTGAACTGCATCAACTCTGATGGCTTATTTGAAAGAGTTTTTCTGGTATCTCACTTACTAAAGACCCCTGGTTGCCACACGTTGCTGGTGAGAGAGAGGTGGTCATGGATTTGAGAGTCAGTGTGTGGAGCTTAAAGGAAGCGTCATCTGCGGTGTTGGCTAGGCCTTGAAACCTTGGCAAATTCATTCCACTGTGTCAGAATCTGGAAGGCAAGTTGCGTGGGTCAGAAAACTCAGGCTACACTCGAGGATGAGGGTTGGGTCAGATAAAACAAACGTCAAGTGAGAGTTGAGAGCACCTTTCTCCAGACCCTCCCGAGTACCCACGAGTGTGGCCTGCAACTGCCCCAGGTTCGATCCCTGGCATTCTGTCAGCTTGCGTATCTGCATGTTTCACTGAACGCAGTCGTGTGGGGGAGTTTCGTGGGACTCCTTGGAAATTCCTTACAGTTAAAAGCTGATTCGGTTGAGCCTGTGAGCACCCCCAGGAGTGATCTCCACGCTCAGAGCCAGGAGGAAGTTCCGAGCAATGCCCGGCGTGGTCCCAAATCTGAAAATTTCTTTCCGGAAGCTCCTGAAAGCCGTTTGAAAGGAACATTCTTTGCTGGAGGGAAGAAATCGGGGAATACTTTTCGTTCACTCTTCATATTCCAACACAATGACTGTCGACAATTTTTGCCTCTACCTTTGCTGTTGGAAGGGAAGTGCTGACCTAGTTCTGGAGGAAAAAAAGAAAAAAAAAGAAAGGCAAAATACATCTGGCACCAAACGATTGAAGTGAAAACGTGAAGAAAATCTTGTTTTCCAAGACACAGACACACACACACACACACACACACACACACACACACACATTGTTATTCACAGAATTTCTTTCTTTTTTTTCCGCCTTTTTGGGTCACACCCAGCAATGCACAGGAGTTACTTCTGGTTCATGCACTCAGAAATGTTTTCTGGCCGTGCTCGGGGGACCATATGGGATGCTGGGAATCGAACCTGGGTCGGCCGCGTGCAAGGCAAACGCCCTACCCGCTGTGCTATCGCTCCAGCCCCAGAATTTATTTCTATAAAGCAGTTTTTTAAATTAAATAACTACGAGATAAACAGTTACAAAGTTGTTCATGATGGGTTTAGTCATTCCTAGTCTGCCTCTATGCAGATTATTCTCTCTCTCTCTTTCTCTCTCTTTCTCGATCTCTCTCGATCGTTCACTCACTCTCTCTCTCGCTTTCGCTCTCTCACGCTCTTTTTTTGGCCATTATGGAAGGAATCTCTATTTCTTTCCGTAACGCACTTGAACCTTCAATTCTGCCGAATCACATAATTTTACGATTTCCGTTTCATACATTTTCCCCGACATATAGACACGCAAAGAAACTATTGAGTAAGTCAGATGAACATGCATTTAATTTTTTTGTTGTTGTTGTTTTAATGATCACTGTCAATCACTGTCCTCCCGTTGTTCATCGATTTGCTCGAGCAGGCCCAGTAACGTCTCCATTGGAGACTTTGTTGTGACTGTGTCTGGCATATCGAATACGTCACGGGGAGCTTGCCAGGCTCTGCCGTGCGGGCGAGATCCTCTATTGAAAATGAATTCGGGGATCTCTGGCTACGTTTTGAATATCAAGTCTGTGACTAAAATGGACAAACGCATTAGTGTCTCAATATCCTGTACCCCAACAGGGCGTCAATATTCTGATCCGTATCCCAACAAGGGATCGAGATCCCAATCCGTACCCCCGCTTGGTCTGCGAGTGATTTGATTAAAAAAAAAATCAAAATCATGGGATCTGAAGCCCTCCCAGGGCGGGTAGGGCACTTGCCTTGCATGGAGCTGACCAAGGTTTTCACCTTGAATGTCACCTGGACACTTTTCATCATCCCAAGGATCGATCTCTTAGCTCTGAGCCTGGAGGAAGCCTTCCGGTGTGGCCCCCAACGGTGCCTTCCTTCCCCTGCAGCAAGAGTTGTTGGTTGAAAGGTGTGAGGCCACAGGTCTTGGGCAATTTCTACCACTTCCCGTTGGCTGTTGAACCCTGGATTCTAATTGTGCAAGTCCTCGGGAATTAGGTGTAGAACTAAGGGATGATTTCAAGAGGACTACTCTTCCAATGTGTTCTGTCTTGTAGTAAAAGGGATTTTTTTTAGCACACTGAGGAAATTGCTCAAGCAAAATCAAAAGCCATTGGCTTCTTTTATCTTCAAGACGTAGCAAGCAAAATGGTTCACAGAATTCAGAGAGCTTAGGGGTTTCTGGGGTCTACCATACTGGGTCCCCACCCAATTCCACAGGGAAATTCTTATGCCACTTGCTTTTCAGGTAGGTGATTCGTTTAAAAAAAAATCCTAAATCGGAATGTTCAAATACTCTTCTTTTTGTTTTCCTCAGAGAATGTGATACCTAATATCTTTGTCTCGAGGAAAGCAGAGTTATTATTATTATTAATTATTATTATTTATTATTTTCATAATAGACAATGGGGTAACTTGGTGGATCACAGTTTCAATTTGGGCTGCACAGGGAAATCTTCCCCGATTTTGACCAACCAGCAGCATGTCCGGTTTCTGTTTCCAGTGTGGGGGTGATTCAATTATGATGCATGAAATGAATGTCGATTTTAAGAACTTTTTTTTTTTATGGGATGCGAGACCTTCCTTGCTTCTTGTTTAAATATGTTTCTGCTTTATGTTATAGAATGTCCTACCAAGGTAAGTCTATGGCATTTGAAAACGTGGTAATGTGAAATCCGAAGGAACATTAAAGACATAATAACGCATTTAAGAATGTGGGAAATGTCTCGTTTTTAATCATTTCCTTTTTCCTTTTTTTTTTTTCCAAAATCACGATACTTTTTTTTTTCTTTCCTTTCCTTTTCTTTCCTATAGTACCATGTTAAGCCCCTGAGTGTTTTTTCGCAGGCTACCTCACCAAACGCTTTTTGCAAAAGGCCAACATTTTGAATTGGTTCCTCTTTTTGACATCTTTACGTTTATAGATATTTTACATAGTCCTTCCAGTTTCTTTTTCTTTATCGTTTTTCTTTTTTCTTTCGGAAATCCAAACGTAACAGATCTTGACTTTTTTGTATGACTTTTTTTTTCCCCCATTGACCCGGTAATATCTTCTATCTTCATTTTTTTTCTTCTTCTTCTTCTTCTTCTTCTTTTTCTTTTTCTTTTTGCAAACCCGTTGGTTTTGAATTCTCTTTTTCCTCCCCTTTTATTTCCTTTCTCACTGTGACCCCAGGAGCCAACAGAAAGAAAAACGCAGATGATATGACCAGTAATGAAGGTGGTGAAGATGAAGGTATTTTTTTTCCAAAGCATGATTTTATATCTCTATTATATATTTATCTCTCTCTCGTTTTTTTTCCTTTTTTCTTCTTCTTCTTTTTTTTTTTTTCTTTTACATTTCAATGTGATCCTCTGCCTTTCTCTGAGACGAGTTCACATCGCCGTGCCAATTTTATTTTCTTCTTGTTTGGAACGCTGCCATTTTTTTTTTACCCTCATGACCACGGTCTCTGGTGCCGACCCCCGTGAGAAACAGCGACTGCACTGTTTCTTAAGAGGAAGCTAATCGCAGAATCACAGAATCCTGTTTGTTCGGTGCTCATGCATTTGTCTCTCTGTTTTTGGTTTTTTTTCTCCCTCCCCCAACCCCACTTTTTTCTTTTTTTTTCTTTTTTTTTGGCTTGGTCACAAGACGAGAAAAATGGAATTTGAAGCCATGCATGCCCCTTTTTCTTTTCTTCTTTGCCAATATTATTTTCGGCCCATTGTACTTGGCGACTTTTGTCTTCTTCTTTTCCTTTTCTTTCAAGCGCGATGCCCTGCCAGTCAGCTCCAAGGAACTTTGGGCGCTGACCTGGAGAGGGCTGGGGGTCCAGGATGGGATGAGGGGGTGTTCCCTTCCAGTTCCTTTTCTTGGCCACCTGCCCCCGCCCCTTCCTCTGCAGAAACACTCCCGTTTCCAAAACAGATGTCAAAGAATGTTCTCCAGCTCACGGTGCAGTACTTAAAAAAGTGTTTTTTAATGGGCTGTTCCTGTTTCCTGCAGCAAAGTGTCTCAAGTGCATTTTAAGGAATCAAGAAAAATAGGGCAGCAAAGATATATATATATATATATATATATATATATATATATATATATATTTCCCTCTAGGGTCAGAAAGCTAGCTGTCTCTATTTTTCTCCGTTTTAAAAGCATTCCACTCTCTGCCCCCTCTTTTTTTTTTAACAATAAAAAAATAAACAACCCTGATGGTTCATCTGCAAAGTTCTTTTCTGGAACGGGTGCACCCATCATCCACCAGGCTCAGATGATCTTTTTCCGAGATGGAAGATAATAGCGTCTCTCTCCGTGACAAATGGGCTTTTTTTCCCGTCCCGATTCGTGCAGGGGAGTCAGCGGCTCGAGAGAATAGTGATACACTGCAGGCTTGTGGACGTCGGCGAGGCTGGGGTGGAAAGTTCCAATGGGAACTGGGCAGATGTGTCCAGTCTCCCCCGCCCATCAGGAGCCGAGTGCGTGGGACTCGTCTGCGGTCCTTGAAGGGTGACGCATTATGCCTCAGACCTCCACGAGCAGAACTTTTTTTTTCTTTTTCTTTTTGGGTCCCACCCGGCGATGCTCAGGGCTGACTCCTGGCTCATACACTCAGGAATCCCTCCTGGCGGTGCTTGGGGGACCCTATGGGATGCCGGGAATTGAACCCGGGTCGGCCGCGTGCCAGGTCAATGCCCTCCCCTCTGGGCTCTCGCTCCAGCCCCTCTTCCTTCCTTCCTTCCTTCCTTCCTTCCTTCCTTCCTTCCTTCTTTCATTCTTTCCCTCCCTTCCTCCCTCCCTCCCTCCCTCCCTCCCTCCTTCCTTCCTTCCTTCCTTCCTTCCTTCCTTCCTTCCTTCCTTCCTTCCTCCCTCTCTTCACCCTCCCTTCCTCCCTCACACCCTGCTTCCTTCCTTCCTTCCTTCCTTCCTTCCTTCCTTCCTTCCTTCCTTCCTTCCTTCATTCCTTCCTCCCTCTCTCCACCCTCCCTTCCTCCCTCACACCCTGCTTCCTTCCTTCCTTCCTTCCTTCCTTCCTTCCTCCCTCCCTTCCTTCCTTCCTCCTTCCTTCCCTCCTCCCTCCCTCACTCCCTTCCTTCCCTCCCTCCCTCCCTCCCTCCCTCCCTTCCTTCCTTCCCTCCCTCCCTCCCTCCCTCCCTCCCTCTCTCCCTCTCTCCCTCCCTCCCTTCCTTCCCTCCCTCCCTCCCTCCCTCCCTTCCTTCCTTCCTTCCTTCCTTCCTTCTCCTTCTTTTTTGCTTTTTGGGTCACACTCGGCAATGCTCAGGGGTCCCTCCTGACTCATGCACTCAGGAATCCCTCCTGGCAGTGCTCGGGGGACCCTGTGGGATGCTGGGACTCGAACTCGGATTGGGCGTGTGCCAGGCCAACGCCCTCCCCACTGGGCTATCGCCCCAGCCCGAGCAGACCTTTTTATTCCCGACTGCGAAGTACAGCTTACTCTGCAGGGTTTTTTTGTTGTTGTTGTTTTTTGTTTTTTTTTTTACATCTATGTGGGGCTTTCTTGACCTCGGAGACAAACCCTGTGTTCTGCGGCCTTTTCCAAGTATGGGCCATCTATTGAGTTTTCTTTTTTTCTGATGAAGAGGGAGAGGAGGAGTAGGAGATATCCTAGCTCAAGAATCCGGGTGATTTTATTTTTTTTACCCAACTTCCCATTTCTGCTTGTACCTTCTCCTCGAGCTGTTTCCTGGTGTAGACACGGTCCTCCTACCCCTCCTCCCGGGACCTTTGAAGAGCTTCCCGCATATCCCCGAAGAATTGATTTATTTAGGGAGCACACCCAGCAGAGCTCACGGTTTCCTCCTGGGTCTAGGCTCAGGGACCACTCCTGGAAGTGTGGGCGGACCCAGGGAAGGCACCTGGCTCGGCCGCGGGCAAGGAAATTGCCTCCAGTGCTCTCTTCTATCTCCACCTCAGCCCTACGCGGTTTTCTGTGTGTTCCACGGAACAAAGGATCCACTCTCTGCAGCGATCAAATTCCCTGATGTGTCTGGGACATCCTGAGACTGTCAGTGGGCACGGATACAGCTCCTTGGCGTGCGTGCCTTGCGTCCTGCCATCAGAGAACTTCACCTTTTATTTTTGCTTGTTTGTTTCTGCCTTTTCCGGGGCTGGAGCCATAATCGCACAGCGGGTAGGGCGTTTTTGCCTTGTATGCAGCCGACTTGGCCGGCCCGAGTTCGATTCCTCCGCCCCTCTCGGAGAGCCCGGCAAGCTACCCAGAGGATCTCGCCCGCACGGCTGAGCCTGGCAAGCCACCCGTGATGTATTCAATATGCCAAACACAGTAACAACAAGATCTCTAATGGAGACGTTACTGGGCCCGCTCGAGCAAATCGATGAACAACGGGAGGACAGAGTTACAGTGGCATTGCTTTTTCTGGGAGGAATTGCATATGCATTTTTTTTTTAATTTTAGCGATAGCACAGCGGTAGGGCGTTTGTCTTGCACACAGCCAACATGGTCAACCCGAGTTCGATTCCTCCACCCCTCTCGGAGAGCCTGGCAAGCTACCGAGAGTATCTTTCCTGCACGGCAGAGCCTGGCAAGCTCCCCGTGACATACTTGATATGCCAAACACAGTAACAAGTCTCACGATGGAGATGTTACTGGGCCTGCTAAAGCAAATCGATGAACAATGGGAGGTCAGTGACCATGACCGTGATTGAATCACCATGAGATCGTTGTAAGCTTTCATGTTTGGGTTACAAGCACGCAATGAGCACATGCATTTTTATTCCTGAGCCCTGGCCCTCAGGGGTTACAATAAAATAGAGCAAAGGCCGGCCAAGCCAGAAGAGAGAGCTCAGAGAGAACCATGTGGAATGCTGTCATCAGGGGGAATTGGCTGTTTTTGGGTTTAGAAACTGCACCCCAGGTTCTGAGTAATAGTACAGCAGGGAGGGCGTTGGCCTTGCAGGCAGCCTACCCGGGTTCAATCCCCGGTGTCTCATAGGGTCCCCCGAGCACCGCCAAGATTAATTCCTGAGTGCAGAAGCAGGAGGAACCCCTGAGCCTCGCCGGGTGGGACCCAAGATGCAAAGACAAAATAAAAAGAAACTGCACCCCAACCTGAGAGAGACTGAGCTCTAAGAGACACAGAGCCCACGTTAGACACATACTTTCAGGAAGACAGCTTCCTGCCCCTCACTCACCCGTCCTGCTGGCTGGACCATTTTTCTGTACTTGGCTGCGAGCTGTATCATTCTGGCATCTTCCACGGACCTGATGGATCTCACAAGATGCTCCTACCATCCTCATTCCTTTTTTTATTTTGAGGGGGTCTTGGATGTTTTTTTCCCCCAGATTCATCTTGGATCTGTCCAAGGTGGCTTGGGACTGGGGTCTCCCTCTGGGCAGCCCTCTCCCGGAGCGCAAACAAACCAACCAACCAATGGACACCGGGGTGTTTGGTTTTGTTTGGATGCTGTTGCGCCGTGTGGACACTCACGGCCACCCTCCACCCCTTCCTACAAAGACACCAGAGGGAGGCTTAAGGCGTCACAGCCAAGGGGGCGTGGCAAGTCAGGGCAGGGGTGGGCCAGTCTGGGTGCCCCCGGTGTACCAGCCTGGTGACCAGCCACACCATCCAAGTTTCAACACTTGGACAGGAACCCAGTGATGCATTTCTGAATGCGTCCACTTCCACCCGGGACGCCTGTTGCCTGTGCAGCCCACACTCTCCTTGACCATCGGCTGCGTCCATGGCACCGTGACGGGCGGGAGGGGTACCCCATGCCCTCATTTAACCCCTGCTGGCCACCATGATGGACCCGGCCATTGGCATGAGTGAGCCGTAACTTCCCAGAGGGAGGGCGCCCTCTCAGTTCCGGTTATCAGCGACCTTGGCCACGGACTCACGTGCTCGGGGAAATGGGTCAGCTAGCAAGTGGCCAAGCTGTTGGGTTTCCCACGTCATGAGGACTTAACACCCTACGGAACCTTGAGTGTCCGGCTCCCGAGACATTGCTCAACCATTCTAACTCTCTTGTTTTTTTTTTAATTATTATTATTACTATTATTCCATCTCATCATGCATTGGCAGGAGCAAACACATTCCCTGCCAATATTTTTCGGTGGAAAGCCCTTGTCACCACTGCCCAGTAGCACGGTGAGTCCCACAGGCCCTGCACACCATGGTTGTCTCACATGTGCGTGCAAGGGTCCAGGCGATCTGTGGTCCCAATCCCCACCGAGTGGCTTCTTTGGTGGCCTCAAGATACAGGTAAACATGGCTCACTCATAGCTGCCACAGGGATGCAGGTCCATCTGCAGTGACACTACCTGACCTGTCCACTTCTTTAATTTGTTCTTATTTGTATCTCATCGAACCCGCCAGACCAACCCTCCCTCCCCGCCCTGCGGCCATCTCTTTGGTCGTTTACAAATAGACACGGGCAGTCTGCATCTCGACGAGGGGTAGCTGGCCTCACCGGCCTGGGTCCTTGGTCCCTTCTAGAACTTGGCCACACCCAGCAGTTGGGTCGGTCTTGACGGCTGGGGGCGTGGGGAGGAGGCTGGACGTGGGTGAATCCGCCCCGTGTCGGTGCCGTCTTCGAGGGTCCTTGGTGAGCCTGTGTCCCCTGACTCTCTTCCCAGACATCCACGACCAGAACATCAAGAAGCCCGTCATGGTCTACATCCACGGGGGCTCCTACATGGAAGGTACCGGCAACATGATTGACGGCAGCATCTTGGCCAGTTACGGCAATGTCATCGTCATCACCATCAACTACCGCCTGGGCATCCTCGGTGAGTGCGTGCGGACGGACAGGCGGGACGCCCCGAAGGTCGCCTTGTGGGCTAAGAGATGTTTTTGAGGCAGCAGGCGGGGTCTGCGGGCTGCCCTCCCTGTCTTGGCAGAGCTGTTGGGTCCTGTGGATTCCGTGCACGCTTCTCTGTCGGGTTTTAGCTGCGGGTGTGTTCCATCACGCGGTGTCTGTGGCTCTGTGTCCAGTGGTGCGTCGCACACAAACGCCTTGTGTCTGCAACGGATGCCCTCACGGACCGTTGTCCAACGGGGCCCCTTTGGCGGTTGGTGCTGATGGCGGCCGTTGCCTGCTTGTGTGTTCGGTGCCCACGTGGTGTGGCGTGGACGACGTTTGTCGGGCGGTGGTCCGTTCCTTGTTCCTTTGCAACTGGTGTCAGAGAGCAAAAGACTTGGTTTTTTGTTGGCCACGTGTCTGGGTGTGTGGATGCTCAAAGCCCGACTGGGTGGGGCTCGGGGGGTGGGAATCTGTGGACTGAGATCTCGGAGCATGGCAGGGGTTTAAAAAAAAATCAATGGCATGGATCGTTGAGGTATTGATCGCATCTTCCTGCCCGGTGTGGATTGCCTCCGAGCTTAGGAGAGGGTCTTGGATCTTGTCCATCCCGTGTTGCTGTAGCTTATGGATATGAGCGAGATCTCTCCGAATTCTCTCACTGTCTCTCTCTCCCTCTCTTTTTCTCTCCCTCTCTCTCTGTCTCTCTCTCTCCCTCTCTCTGTCTCTCTCTGCCTCTCTCTCTGTCTCTGTCTCTCTCTCTTTCTCTCTCTCTCCCTCTCTCTTTCTCTCTCTCCGTCTCTCTCTGTCTCTCTCTCTCCCTCTCTTTGTCTCTCTCTGTCTCTCTCTCCCTCTCTCTCTCTGTCTCTGTCTCTCTTTCTCTCTCTCTCTCTCATCGCTTAGCAAGATACTTTCCATATCTATTCACTCTGGACCAGGACAAGGTCCTAAAAGGAGGTAAAAATCACACATGCTGCCTCTCCCAGCGCCTCAAGGGAAATTGCAATCACTCACGATCATCCTGTTGATCATCTTGTTGTTTGATCATCCTGTTGTTCGTCAATTCTACAGTGCTAAACATACATTTATATTATGTTATGTATTTATATATGTATATAATGTATATTTCACGGCCATCCTATTGTTCTTCGATTGCCTCGAGCAGGCCCCAGTAACGTCTCCTTTGTCCTAGACCCGAGATTTTAGAAAGTGCCATATTCAAGGCTCTTTCAGGGTTAGGAGAATGAGACCCATCCTTGTTACTGGTATTTGGCATATTGGGTACGCCACGGGGAGTTTGCCAGACTCTACCGTGTGGACACGTTACATTCGGTAGCCTGCCAGGTGGTCCAAACTAAGAACAAGATAATAAGATGTCCTGTGGCTGCAAATGCGGCCGCGTGCTTCCAGGAGCTGGGTTTTATAGTCTCTGGGTGTTGGCCATTGATGGGATTACACGGCGTCGGGGGGCAGTTGGTGGGTGTGACCCCTGCCTACTGGAAGCCAGCTATCTGGGGTCGAGCCGTCAGGCACGCAAGTCAAGGCATGACCCTGTATCAAAGCCAACTTCAAATCTTAGAGTTGGTGTTTGTGTCACTGTTTGCATCACTTCTGTGGGTTACACACTTCAGAGAAAAACCAGGTCACCTAGAGGTGCCAGCTCACTTATCCCGTGTCTCTTTGTCTCTCTCCCTCTTGGGAGAGGAGAGAGACCTCCTCCCTAGTGGTTTCTCACCCTTCTTCTCAAGCCTACCTAGATACCCTCGAAAGATTCACGATCACAATCATCCTGTTGTTCGTTGATTGCCTTGAGCAGGCCCCAGTAACGTCTCCTTCGTCCTAGTCCTGAGATTTTATTTTGAAAAGTGCCACATTCAAGGCTCTTTCAGGGTTAGAAGAACGAGACCCATTATTGTTACTGGTATTTGGCATATTGGGTACGCCATGGGGAGTTTGCCAGACTCTGCCGTGTGGGCAGGTAAAATTCCGTAGCCTGCCAGGTTGTCCAAAGTAGGAATGAGATGATAAGATGTCACGCAGAGCCGAGCCGGGTTTTATAGTCTCTGAGTCTTGACCGTTGATGGGAGTACACGGCGCCAGGGGGCCAGGTGGTGGGTGTGACCCCCGCCTACTGGAATTTGGAGGATCTGGGTGGAAGATGCTCGACTCCAATTCGAGTAGGCTTGGAGGTCTCGGCCCCGGAACCCGCGTGGCTTTGTCCCTCTGCCAGTACCTTCATGTGTGCGGAGAGTGGTCTCAGCATGGTGGTAGCTGGTTCTGGAGGTCTTCGGCTGCCAGAGCCCTGGTCGGGGCGGGGAGGGAAACTCAACCCACTCCCCTCCAAGGGGCCCCGGCAAGGACAGTCGGGCGCGGGGGCAGGAGACTCTGCGCTGTTCTCTTCCGGGAGCTGGTTTTTATAGTTTCTGAGCCTTGGCCGTTGATGGGATTACACGGCGCCAGGGGGCCAGTTGGTGGGTGTGACCCCCGCCTACTGGAATTTGGAGGATCTGGGTGGAGGATGCTCAGCCCCGATCCGAGCAGGCTTGGCGATCTCAGCCAAGCGATTGCAAAAGAAAGAGGTACTTTGGCAAGTTCGCTCTAGATTCTCCTTCCTGCCCAGGTGGTCCGGGAGGGTGGATGCGGGCACCTATTACCCTAACCTGTGGAGGCTTCTAGGTCCTTGGCTCCCCTCCTGAGCCAACACACGCTGGTGTTAAGGACCCACTGCTGTGTACTGCCCTCTCCCTTCCACTCACCTCTGCAAGTCGGAACAGGTCAAAGACCCCCGGACGGGCCGAGCTGTGGGGAGACGTTTCTGATGACCAAGGCAAGCACCACCATGTTGTGACTTCTCCACCTCCAGGGTTCTGCCTGGTGGGTGGCCCCTCCCCTACCTCCTCCCCACCCAGGGAGCAAATGTCCAGGGGCCAAGGCTGCTCTCCAGGAAGGGAGACCTCCTCCTAGACCCTTCCTCCTCTGTCTCTCCATCTCTCTCTCTCCTCCTCTCCTCCGGATACTCTTTTTTTTCTGTGTTTTTCTGTGTCTGCGTTTTGGTTTTTGTGTTTTTCTCTCCCTCCTTCCTGCCCTCCCTTCTTACCTTCCCCTTCCTCTCCTTCCTTCCTTCCTTCCTTCCTTCCTTCCTTCCTTCCTTCCTTTCTTCCTCATTCCTTCTTTCTTCTGTCCTTCCTTCCTTCCTTCCTTCCTTCCTTCCTTCCTTCCTTCCTCATTCCTTCTTTCTTCTGTCCTTCCTTCCTTCCTTCCTTCCTTCCTTCCTTCTTCTTCTTCTTCTTTCTTTCTTTCCTTCCTTCCTTCCTTCCTTCCTTCCTTCCTTCTTTCTTTCTTTTCCTATTTTCTTCCTTCCTGTCTATCTACCTCCCTTTCTTTCTCTTTCTCTCCTTCCTTTCTTCCTTTCTACCTTCCTCCTTTAATTTCTTTCCTTCCTTCCTTTCTTTCTTTCTTTCTTTCTTTCTTTCTTTCTTTCTTTCTCTTCCTTTTTTCTTAATTCCTCTCTACCTGCCTCCCTTTCTCTCCTTTAATTTCTTTCCTTCTATTCTTTCTTTCTTTCTTTCTTTCTTAATTCCTCTCTACCTGCCTCCCTTTCTCTCCTTTAATTTCTTTCCTTCTTTTCTTTCTTTCTTTCTTTCTTTCTTTCTTTCTTTCTTTCTTTCTCTTTCTTTCTTTCTTTCTTTCTTTATTTTTTTCTTTCTTTCTTTCATTTTCTCCTCCATTCCCTTTCTCTCTTTCTCTCTTTCTTTCTTTCTCTTCTTTTTTTCTTCCTTCCTGTCTTCCTACCTCCCTTTCTTTCTCTTTCTCTCTTTCTCTCTTTCTCTCTTTCTTTCTTTCTTTCTTTCTTTCTTTCTTTCTTTCTTTCTTTCTTTTCCTTTTTATTTCCTTCCTTCCTCCCTCCCTCCCTTCCTTCCTTCTTTCTTTCCTTCTTCCCTTCCTCCCTTCCTCCCTTCCTCCCTTCGCTCTCCGTCCTTCCTCCCCCCGCTCTCTGCTGTCTTCCCTTTCCCTGTCTTTCTCTTCTTTCCCCCGTCCTCCCCCTCTTCACCCCTTTCCTGTCTCCTCCTGATTCCCTGGGGCCCATCTTCTCTGCGTCCACCTCAGTCTCTCCCGCTCGCCACTGGCCTTTGGCCCAGGAAATGGCTTTCGGCTGCCCTGACAGAGGCCCTAGAGGCCCTTTGTGCCGGGAGGTGCGGAGACCCAAGAAGCTGCTTCCAAGGGTGCCTGTGTGTGGGAACCCGGGCGTCCTCATCACCATCCCGTTCCTAGTGGGAGCACAGGCGTCTGATGGACAGGCCATGGGCGGGTCTCCCACTCAGGCCTGGCGGGTCGCACACCCAGCTGCGTGGGATGGGCGGACGCTGCCTCAGAGTTTCAGCTTCCTGATAATCACCCCCTGGCCCGTCCAGCGCTGCCTGCTCAGTGTCAAAGGCTGCCCTGTCCCCGGCAGGCTCAAGCTGAGCTTTCCTGTCTCCCTGCTGTGTAGAGCTCTTGTGTCCACACCCGAGGGACCTCGACGTGCACACGGGCGGCCCATGTCCCGTCCGCCACATCCCGAGTGATCTCTGAACCCACAGCAAGGAGTACGGTCTGAGCACCGTGTCCTGGAGTCAGGGGAGGGGATCCACGGGGGCCATACGGAGTCTAAGGTGGGACTTTGGGGCATTATTTGGGTGCTCGGAGCTGACCCCTGGCTCTGCTCTCTGGGATCGCTGCTGGCAGGGTTCAGGGAATCTTGTGGGATGCCAGGGATTTAACTGGGGTCGGCCACAGGCAAGGCACATGCTTTAACCTCTGGGGTATCGCTCCAGCTCTGACAACGTGACTTTTGAAGGATGCAACACTTGGCGTTTTTCTGGACACTTGTTCACTGATATTACATATTCCTGGTGTGCGGTCTGGAGAGAAGTTTGTAAATTGCTGCCCGCTGAGGAGGAACGTAAACGGTCCTAGTGACACGTCGGGAGTAGGAATAATAATTCGCAG